TGCTCGCCASGGTAAGCTAGCGCCACGATTCTTCGGGCGATTACTCGTGATTGAGCTCGGAYCGAACGGYGTGAACACCGTGCGGCTTGCGCCTGAGGTCTCCGGCAGCCGATCAGCTCGACCGATCATCCGCCACGTGTCCTACCTACGTCCCCTTCCTTCTTCCCCATCTTCGCCTTCACTTGACTCCTCCTCCRCTACGGAAGAGGACGACGACTGCTTATCGCCTGTCCATCCCTCCTCATCTCGTTCTCTCGTAGGTACCCCGTYYCCRCCACCATCRCCATGAGCTTTGCAACGGAGCAAGTGATYGGTGCGCGGCTACTTACYACTCCGAGGGGCCGAATCAGCGTCATCCGTCAAGTGCAACGGCCCCATCTTTGCGCTGATCTCCTGCGATTCGCAGCCTTCTTCGGCATGGCGGCAATTCACGCGGCGGCGGAGATCCAATTCATGGATGCGGCCACTACGCGCGTTCTGGCCAAGATCTCGGCCATTTGACGACTGTCCCCTCCCGGGATCAGCCACGTCACCGTCGTCATCGTCTTCAAGGGGGACATCACGGCGATCCCTTCGGCGGTTCATCCCGACATCTATCGGACTCTGCGTGCCTGGGCCGAGGAAGTGCGCACGGCGTGGACGGCACTCTTTGCTCATCGGGGAGATACCGTCTTGCCCGCACACGGCACTGACTTTCAGCTCCGCTCATCCTGCAGGTCGCCGGCGATCGTACTTCCGAAGCGTCGTCCCTTCGCGCCGCCCCAATGAGTCGTCTCTGCCTCTCCTACTTCGGCCTTCCCTCCAGCATCCCCACTCTTTGGCAGTCCGCGCGGGCCCCTACTCTCTCCTATCGTGCTAAGGAAACCAGCGCGCCTCTGTTGAACGAAGAAAAGTGGGACGCGTGGTGGGAGGACTACATTGAACTCGTCTTTTGCGTGTTGGAGATAGAGTTCCGCTGGTCAGAATCGGCGCCATTCGGAGAAGGGCCAGAGCACCGAGAGGACAGTGTGGAGCTCCTAATCATCCAGGCCTAAAGGACGGCAGAGGAAGGCGATCTGCTGGGGATTGTATTCGGAAAGTTGGAGGAGGGAGGTCTCGCCCTGATTACGGGCGAGCTGTTGGTGTTCCTGACCGGGCTGACCCAGCTGGTGGATGGTCTGCACCTGGACATCTTATCGTGGTGCGACGAGCAGCCCGACACCCACGTGCTGTCTCGGACGCTCGAGCCGCACTTGGTGTGGTCCACGTGTACGGAGATCGACGAGGACAACTGTCTCTATCCCTCCCAGGCGCTCTACTTGGAAATCAATGTCACCGATCTCACGTTTTGGGACCCGATCGCGCGGAGAAACGCGACGCAGAACGAGGAAATAGGAGAAGCGAAAGAAGCGAAAGCGCAAGAAAAAGAAGAAGAAGAAGAAGAAGAAGAAGAAGAGGAGGGTGAGGGACGAGACGACCCCGACTATGTCCCAGAGAGAGGAGCGGGGATAGCGGGAGGGTCGAGCCAGCAGCGCGATAAGAACACGAGGGGGAAGAGGAGAAGGAGCGAAACCGACGAGAAAACGCGGAGGGAAAGCGGCCCGTGAAGGAGGGAATGACTATCGATCCATCGATAGGAGATCCGTGGCGTGATCCGGAGCCGTCAGAGGAAGAAGACGATGGAACTGCCGTAGAGGGATCGCGACGGCGAAGAAGAAGAAGAAGCGAATCGCCGATTTCATCCGGCTCCACACCCCGGCCTTCCGTTCGTCTACGTCAAGATCTCGTCGTTCGGGCCTCGTCCCCGATTATTCTCTCGCCGACCCCGTGACTACCACATGCTTACCCACCTCCCTGGTAGACCTCCGTTCCCCGATGGATGGTGCCCTTTCCCCCACAACCTTTTCTACCATCTCTACGCTACCCGCCTTCTAGTCTCTGTTTATCCGCATGCCACCATCCGCTCTGTAGTCGATTCCTTCCTCCTTCATGTGCTCCTGTTTAGCGCAGACTGGCGGCAATATAACCACGTAGAAATATATTGTGTTATATCCGGAACTGTCCCCACCTGCGAAGACTATGAAGATTTTCGCGCCGCCTTGCGTCGAACCCTTTCTACCATCTACCCCAACTACATTGCCGCTTTTCGCCATCTTCACGAAGACCCTCGCTTTCCCCGCATCCATCACTCCTTCCACTACGCTACCCTTCACGCCTTTGCCTCCCCCGCCATCAATCAGTTCATGCCCCCTCTCCCCCTGAACCACCCGCCCCCACCACCATCGATGATCCGGTTGCCCTTCCCCGGGAACGTCTGATTTAGAGTGTTAACCCTCCTTTTCGCACGGATGCATGATTGATGGATACATGTTACGGTGACGACACGTGTGATCCCCTCCTTGGATTGTCAATGGCTCTTCCAGAGGAATTAGTAGTTAGAGTTGTGTTTGCCACGCAGGATGACGTCCACACTCATTCAAACGGTAAGTGGCACAAAAGGAAAAGCTCCACGTATCGATCGATTAGAGAGATCGACACGTAGCAACCAGGAGCTTGCTAATATTGGAACCCCTGGGCGTCACATATGTGATGGACCGATTTCTGTACCGCGCGATTTTCTGTGCGATAGCAATGAGGGGTCCTAAGCTGGGAAGGATGGGCCAATCATGGGAGATTGGGATGGATGGGAAATTACATCGGTGTCCTCGCTTCTTCGTCTTTTTCGTCGTCTCTTTTCGAATGGTTGGGTTCAGGGTCGGTTGAGTCCCGGAATGACCAATTGGTTGATTGGCTGTGTGAGCGGCGTGCTGTCATGCGCACGATTGATAAATATTGACGTCGTTTCTTTTGTTTTGGTTTCAGACTTTTTAGGCGCGGACATCTCGCGGGAATTTGCTTCGTTCTTTTTGAATTTTCTTTTTGAATTCCTTTTCAAATCTTGTCGAGCCCCGATGGCTCTCGGAATTTCGGACTTTCTTTCCAGAACTTGTGCTTTTCGCTTTTCTGTATTAGATAGGAATTTAGGAATTTTGTAATTAGGATTTTTCTTGGCCGCGCAACGCTTTTTGCTTACATGCTTCTTCATGCGGCTGCCTTTTAATCGTGTGTGTAACTGTAATTTTGGGCGGGCGCCATTGTAACTGTATCTTTCTTCTTGTGCTTCGCCTTTCCCGCCCTTCTTCTTTTTCTTTCCGCTGTGTTTTGGTAGCCGCGGTCTGCATGATCAGACTGATGCGTGGAGAGCGGCTACGTCCCCCACGCCGCGATCGGGCCATCCAGACGTAGGCAATCCCTCCCCCTTCTCTCCTCTCAAGTCCTTGTAATTCCTTGTTCTTCGCGCATGCATGCACGCTATAAATTCCGGTTGCGCGATTAGTTAGCTCTCTTAACCAGCTAGTGGAATCTCAGGGTATCGCGATCAGTGAGGGTCGGCTCACGAGCGAAGTAAGAGGTGAGTTGAAGTGGGAGTCGGACGACCTGACGAGCTGGTGCTAAACGCGCAGGGTTGACGCGGGCCACGGCGGACTGTGGGCGCGGGCGAACCTGATGGGTGCTGGAGGACTAAGCGGGGTGACGACTTCGTGGGTGGGTGCGCGACGACGGACTGTCCGCATCGGAGAGAGAGAGAGAGGAAGAGGGAGTTGAGGTTGATGGACGCGGATTTGCTGTTTCTTTTATCTTTTCTCCCTCCCTGGTCGTGTATATAAATTTTGATTTTGGCTCAGGGCGATTTGCTTGTTTTTGTTTTTCAAAATCTTGACTTGGTTTTTCGCTCACACTTGTCCTTGCGATTTCCATCTCGGATATGGTGTGTGTTATGTTGAATGAATGGATGAATGGATGTTATGTCTGTTGCTGGTCCTTATGCCTGATCTTTGCCCTTGCTTCTTGCCCTAATGCACTCGTGAATTAAAGATGCCACAGTGTTCTAAAAATCAATCAGTTTTATCGAAAAGTGTGGAATATAAGTCATATTTGAATGATGAACACGAGAAAGAATCATAGATTTCCAAAACACATCTAGAGAAGTCAATGGCCAAAAGGCTCCAGTGTTCGCCCCCCTTGTGCACTGGTGCCAAGACGAGGTTATGAGACAGGAGGTCGACATCATTAACCCATCTGCTAATAGTTGTCGGACCTCGCAGAAGCAATGTAGAGGCGAAGAAAGAGTTAAAGGTGTACGTCTTTACGGCAGCGGCAATCCGGCCGCAGTCGTCCAGTAGCATCGCTATGTAGAAATTGACAACCTCATCGTCGAGTTCCCCGTATCCATCCACGAGTGTGACGATGTCCTTGACCGAGACCTGCAAATTGTGTGACGGCAAACGTGCAGCGATGAAAGTGAGCGGCAACCGAAAGCGGGTAACGTCTTCAAGGACTGCTCTTCCATCTCGAGGAAACCCTGTTCAACAAACAACCGCAACACACAGCAAGCACAAAGGGCGGAGGACTATGAGAAAATGCCGCCCTAGTGACCAGGGTCCGACGAACTGTCACTCTGCGGCCCAAAAATTTCACGCATAACGTCACCCCTACTTCTGGACCTTCTATACACAGTTGATTCTAAACTAGCACTGTCCTTCTTTATATCCTTGCAAGCTTCGAGAAGGATTTCCTTGCACTCCTTCTCGGTAACACCCGTTGTCTCTGCAACGAGTTTCGCGCGCGGACCTATTATGGGCACCACCACCCATTCGGGAGGCCCTGAGGCTTTCAGCCCCCATAAAAGGAAGCGGTGACATCGCCTCCCGCAACCAGGTCTGACAACTTCGCTGGGGCAGCCGGTTCCTGCAACATGTGTGCTTGTCCACCAGTCCGTCGACCTGTACAAGAAATAGCACATGTTCGACTACAATAAGCGTCGGTTAAGATATCCACCGATAACGTTCAGCTGGCGGCTAACAACACAACTTCGCAAGAGTAACGAAGCAAACAACACCTCAGGAACCCCACCCGGTAACGTTCAGTTGGCAACTGTCAATACAACTCCCCAAAAGCAACGAAGAAAACAACACCTCACGAACGGGTTGATGAGCGGGAAGCAAGCATAGAAATTCAGTGCTTACCAGGCTTAGCTTCCACGTCACCAGAGTCCACCGATGGTAGTCCCAGCACGATTGGCGACCCTCTACGCATCGACGCCGCGATGACGTGCTCCAAACCACCCGGGAAACTTGACAGGTTTGAGATGTCGGCATCGATGATCGGAGAAGGCATAAATTCTTTCCAATGGTGCAAATCCTCCATGTTCACGATGGACAATTTTATTCCGCTCTTCTCCGGACTAAGAGCGTCGAGGTCCACAACATTGACAGGTTGTGTTTTCTCCACAGCCCCAGTGTCGTATTGTGTCGAGCTGAAGGTCCCATGGATGTCCAACAACACTTCTTCCCCCCTTAACTTCTTGTCCTGGTGCATTGTGTCTTTGTCGTCGTCACTTAAATAGAGCAAGCCATCCTTAACAGCGTCAGAGGCCTTCTTCATAATATCCTCTCCTATAGCCTCGTCGTGAAGGCCGGAGTACAAGGGGTCCTCGTAACCCGGCCTGACTCGTTGGTCCAACCCGGCGGGCCGCATCTCATTCCCTGAAGTATCGTGGGGCATGCTCACATCGCTGGGCTTCAGATGAATCCGATCCTCGGCGGAATGCAGTGGAAAGGACCCGTCCGCTTTGTCAAAAGTCGTGACATGTCCACAACACTCGACGCCGTCCAGTTCGAGCCCAGCGTCTGTCTCCTTCGGATGCATCCGAATTACAGCCGTCTCCAAAGCTGCATCATCGACGGACATGCTCACATCGCCCAGGCTCGGATTCATCCGAGCCCCGATAGAGTCTGATGGTGCGGACGTGTCCGCTTTCACCGCAGAGTCATTTAAAACTGTTAACGAAGTGCATTTCATAACTGGGAATTCCTCTCCGAGTGTGAGGGACTCGACATTGGAACTGGGCGCTAACTCACCCTCTAGGGACTCCATGGCATTGTCTCGAACACCAACTTTGAAAGACGAACAGTCTGCCTGCAGCTCCTTGGCGGCTTCCATGCACAACATTTCCGAATCGGCGTCCTTACACCGATCCGCTGTCATTGCAGACACGTTCTCCTGGTTCAGATCAATCCGAATTTCGCTGGCAGGTTGTTCGTAAACCCAGACCATCCATTCGAGTTCCGTAGACCGGTGTGCTGTCTTGACGGTCCTGGCCACCAGGTTCGGATTAATCCGAACTTCCTGATGTGGCGAAACAGAAAATGGTAACTGTTCCAGCTTGTCGTAGTCGGACACGAGGTATGTTGTCGTCTTGCTTCCCCCAACGCACAGAGTTCTGAACAACGACGTCGTTTCCGTGGTTCGGATTGATCCGAGACAATCCGCAAATTGGGTTTGAACCTGAGCAGGGCAAGTGCCATCCTTCGCATCAATTATAGAGTCCTGCTCGCCAGGCCGCAGAATCCACCAAGGCCTAAAGTCATTTCCCGTCTCCATTGAGGTGTTGCATGTTACCGCCAATGCCGCACCCTCCTCATCGTCGTCGACGTCGGACCCCTGCCCATCTCCTCTGTGATGCTTTGTCTTCTCTCCACTGTGAGGCTTTTTCTTTTCTCGGCTTGCCCTTTTTCCCCTCTCCGCCGCCTTTGTGCTCCGGAGACCGCTGTTTCATCGAGCGTTGTTCACTCCCCCCCCCGCGGTTCCGCGTTGACCGCCGCCATGCCATCCCCTTCGTCGTCCTTTCCGCGAGACTTTCGCTTCACAACTCCAGCCGGCGGAGGGACCGCAGACAACTCCCAACTTACGTGATTCAATGACGGGCTCCACGGAAGGCTGTAGAACACGGAGGATACTTCCAACCATTTATTTGACTGCAATAAATCGAACAACAAGTTCGCGTATGCCCGGAGAGCAGGGTCGCCCTTACGTCGTCGATTGGCCTCGCTTAATTTCTCCACTACCGCTTTGTACGCTTGAGATTTGAAAGTATCAAGGTCCCAACGATCGTCATATTCCCACCCTCCACTTAAGTCCTTCACAGCCACTGCCCATTCACCGTCGAGAAGGACTGGCTGGAAATGGTCAGGGTGCCACACGATATCATGGCCCCAATCTTCGGCTTTGGAGAAGGTGTGTTTGTCGCCCATGTGGTAGGGCCTTGCAGGATTCAAGAGATGTGGATGGTCAGGAGGAACTGGTTGGCGGGGTTGTAGACGTTCAGGGTGCGGTGTGAGACTTAGTGACTCCCCCGACGAACTCCTCGGATGGGACAACCCAACCCTCTTGACAGGCGTTGAGGAGGACATGGTTGTGGGACCGTCTGAGGTAGGTGTAGCGAGCGGTGTTCCCGGTTTGCATACAGAGGGCGACTCAGAAACGACTTGGGCGTTGAAGATGGCTAATTGGTCGTTGAAATCGAAGAGGTCGTCCTCAACACTCTCCTCCTGCTCAATCTCGATATTGAAGTCATCGTCCTCACCAAATGCCAGCCTGTAGTTGTCCAAAGTGAAGTCGGCCGGATCGTCCACACCTTCATCGAAAAATACATATTCCAACGTCTTCATGAAGCCCGCTGCGCTGGTGCGACTCACCCTGTGGTAGCCCTGGAGGACTGCAATGACGACTTCCTTTCGCATCACATACTGCTCGTCAAATCTGGACCTCGGTAGATGCCCGAAAAGAAAGGAGTAGACCTGGCGCCTTTTTTTCGGAGTCAACTTGAAGAACATGTCCTTATTCGGGTTATATACGGGCTCCGCGATGACATGGTGGAAATCACACGCGTAAGCCCTGGACTGGACTTCATGGGCAACAAACTGCACGGTGTATTCAAGCTGCGTTGAGTCCCCCTCCACGACCAAGACGTGCCTTCCCTGGTGAAGCAGATTTCACACCACCTGCGCATGCAGCTTGCCCAAGAACAGCATGGCATCCGCCACACCACAGAAGAAGGAAGCTGACTGCATAACTGATTAGGATTCCTCTCGCAGTCCTTGTACACGGTCCCCCTCTGGCTGAGGTTCCCAAAGTCCACGAAATTCAAGGACTTGAAAGGCTTCTCCTCCACATCCGTAGGTGTCACTTTCTGTTTCCTTCGGAGAGTGGCGGCATCGTCTTCGACAACAGCTCCCTCATACACTAGGTGAGTCAGCAGCCGCGGATCCTCGCCTGGCCCTTGGATAGACGAGGGTGGCGATAGACAAGGCGGAGAAGGGCGTGCAATCATGGAAGACGTCATCGCTGTCGACGCCGCGGCGGCATCCAAGGAGGGCGAGGCAAGTGTCGTCGCACATCGAAATCAAGCGCCCGTGCCACGTGTGAATGACGCCCTTGACGAGCAAGAGGGTGCGCTCCGCGCATGAACACCAACAACCCCGCGCTCGAGGACGGCTGCAGATGTGGGGGTCATTGCGCAAGCCATCGCTCAGGGGAACAAGAAGCGCTCTCCTGTGCAAGAGGCGCGCGGGGCCACAAGGGGAGGGGGCTTCACACGAGGGGGAAGGCGCGAGGGCGGGCGGGCCAGCAACGGAGGGGGCATCACACGCGGGGAAAGGGGCAAGGGCAGGCGGGGCAGC